ACGTAAAGGAGGAAGACCATATGAAGACACAAAAAGAATTCAGCCATCTACAAGCCAAGGAGAGAGGCCTCAGAAGAAACCTACTGATACGTCAAACTTATACTTCCAACCCCCGAATCATAAGACAATAAAAGACTGGTTTTGCTATGGCAATCTGAGAAAACAAATATACCCCTCGCCCTGGGATTGGCAAGCTTTTTTCTATAAAGGTTCATACAATAAATATTTTAGATTTGTGAGTCACACAGGCTCTGTTACAGCTCAACTCAGCTATTGCAGCATCAATGAAGCCACTGGCAACATTCAAAAATCAATAGGTGTGACTGTGTTCCAGTAAAACTTTATTAACAAAATAAGCAGTTTTGCCCTTGGACTGTGATTTGCTGTCTCCTTCCCTAAATAATTGGTTCAAGAGTCAATTGTGACTGAGTCCTGGCCAATAAGCATGATTCTGTCCCTCTAGCCAGAATTTTCACTATCCAATGGCAGTGATTCTCAGAGCTTGCTCCAAGCAGGAAAAGACACTCTCTTCTTTAGTAATGAGAATGTGCAGATGCAACTGTTGTTTTCAGGACAAAACCCAAAGTCTTTTGTATTACTCCAAGGCACCCTGAACTTCAGGCACATACCTGCCATCTTTCATCTCTTTACCATAGGCCAAAATTCAGTAGATGCATATAAATGCCTAAAGACCAAATAAGCACTAATCACAATTTAATTTTTTATTTGTTTTTGTTAAATGTCAAAATATTTTTATTCAAATCAAATTCAGTGTTGTGTTATAATAATGTAAAATGCAATGCTTAAATGGAAAATGACATTTTATATTAAAGACACGCTTTCAAAAAACTTAATAAATTTTTATTCTGCAGGACTTTAAGCATGACTTAAATATTCTAACAGGCCAATGGTTTTTTTTAATAATTTAATTTTTTAAATGAATGGTTGGACCAAGTCAATTAGGGAACTGTCATTTGCACTATTTGGAAACAACCTAAAGTAGCACATCATGCTGTATTTACCTGGCATTGATGTAATAGGTACTTTAAAAGAATACCAAGACCTTGGGGGAAATGCAAGAGGAAAGTAATTAATCTAGATTTTTCTGAGAATGCCCAGAAAATACATCTGGTCAGTAATAAAGGAGATTTGGGGCTAGCTGAATTTTTTTCCTCTAAGTTATGAGATTTTAATTTACATCATCAACAAGAGAATTCAACATAGCTTCCCAGTGTGTGTCAAATGGAAGAAAATATTGGAGTTTAAAAAATTAAAAATTGAAAATCAAGAATTATTTTTTTTGAGATTGACATTTATTTCTGTCTAGTAATTATTAATGAAATGAGGTGCAAGCTGGCTTGGGTCAAACAGGTCTTGGGGCTGGTGTTCAAGCAGACCAAGTTATGCTATAGTAATATCTAATGCTGTAATCTCAAGGGTTTTAAATAAGTTTACTTCTTGTTCCACCCTCCATGTTGTAGCTGCTTCCATTTGTGGCACTTCCACATCAACAGATGCTTCACTCTAGAGGGGTAAAGAACATGGGAGAGTCACACAGTGGCTCTTAAGTGGTTTCACCCAGGAGTAACAGATGACACTTCTACTCCCACACAGTGCATTGGCCAGCACTTGTCACATGGTTTTGTCCACCGCAGGAAGCCGGGAAATGTAGTCTTTTAGGCATGAAGGAAGTGGCCAGGGGAAGGGATAGTAATGACTATCACACAGGATACCTTCAAGAGGGAATAAAAGGGGAAAGAGGTCTCCTGCAAATCAATGAGGACAAAGCAGAGAGGAATAAGGGATGCACATAGGTGAAAGAGAGGAGACAATTCAGTTGCTACTCAGTTCAGTTCTACAAAATGTACCTGAATAGCAATGCCTTCCCATGACACAGTTCACTGGCCTATAGTATAAAAGGAAAAACAAGGAACATGTTATTATAAAGCTAAATTGACAATTTGGTCTTTCATAATTGCTAAGTTGAAAGTAATGAATGACCTTCTTACTTTTTTTTTTTGTTTGTTTTGTTTTAAAATGTCATTGTTTTTGTGAATTGATGGCGGCCATAGTTAGGAATTGCCTGTCTAATGTCCTCACTTGGTAAAATAAAAAGTTGGCAACCATCCATAACTTTCCCCATTTTTTTAAAGGTACTGTGTCCATCTGTAAAATAAAAGATCTTGGAGCCATTGATCTAGTTAATGATTGTACCTAGATCTTGTTTTAACTTAAAAGGAAATATACGTTTTGAGCCCCTACTCTGTACCATTTAGCATACACATATTCCTTCATTCTTCTCTTAAAACAATAAAGAGGAAGGTATTAATCCAAATTTACTGTAAAGTAAGAAAGACTCAGAAGAAACTGCTCCTGGTTATAATTTCTCAGTTGTTCTACTTTTCAACCTATTAAAAAAAAAAACACACCTTATTCCATATTACTCCTGTGGTTCTGCTTCTCTGATTGAACCCCAGCTGATACCCACAGGGATCCTCATCTCAGGGTCTGATTCTAGGGAATCTGCCTTAAGACAATATGCTTAAATGATAGGCTAAATGATTTACTAAGGCCACATGGTTAATTAAGGCAGTGCTGCATCTCAGTCTAAATCTGCATGACCTAAGCCCCATGTTCTGTCCCCAGAGCACACTGCCACTTGAGATACTGAGCTTCCCCAAAGCAGTGAATTAAGAGGAACTTCTGGGTCACACTCACTGGGTGCATATTAGTAGAAATGCCTTCAGATGTGTAAGAATGATATTTAATATTTAAGTTCTTATTTAGGCACATCCTGCCTGTACACTAGCCACAAGAATAAGTCACCATTGCAGAGAATCACACAGCAACACATATGGGAGCAGAAACTGACTAATTCTCAGCACAGGTGCTCTTATTGAATATTGATAGCTGGTCTGAAGTCAAAATAAAGTATCTCTGGCTCTTCCTACACCAGCAGGTGTTTCTCACTCCTGGCGCCCAAAATGTATGTGCCTTCTAAGACTGTAAAAATAGACACCTCTCACATTTCTCTATAGGAACTCTTAGAAACAAACATTTGGAAAGCAGTATAATCTTATAAGAAGTTTTTCCACTTCTACAAGGGATTTGCTAAGTCTGATGTGTGAGCATAGATATTTGTATATTCATAAATTTCTGGTGCTGATGCACTTAAAATTCACTATTCCTGAGAAAGACAGGAAGAAGCAAGACAACTGTGAATAAGCGCTGCTTTTTTTGAGACTTCTTCACTAAACAGATGTGCAAATATCTAAATTGCTTTATGTTGTTAACACCCTAAATATGACAAATTAAGATTAAAATATCAAACTTTAGGTAAGATATTACAAATGTGTAACTACCTCTATATACCTAGACTTTCTTCTAAGTAGATAAAAATAAGTTCTATAGATCATTATTTTAGAACTACTGTTATTCTGACTTCAAAAAACACACAGGATATGTTTTCCTGTGAGTGCTCTGTAACTTGGGACTCATAATTGATTATCATAAAATATCACAGACGATATTATTCATAGGCAATATTTTAGTAGAATAGTTAACTAAGTGATGTGAAGATTTGCTTCCTTAAAATTATGATTTTCATATGGGAGTCTTATAAGAAAGATACTAAATCATAAGAAATGAGAATTATTTATCATAAAGATCAGAGAAAACCATAAGTTAAGCACAATTTTCTAAAAGAAATGAACAGAATTTGTAAAAAACTTTTTATCTATCTATAGATAGATCAATCAATAGATAGACTGATAAAGAGAGAAAGAAATAAAGAACTTGCTGTGAAACAAAAGTAAGGAATGAGAAGATATGAAGACAAAAAAGCAAAAACAAAAGGGCCAAATAAAATTTTTTTAATACTTACACTCTAAGAGAAGAATTAAAATCCACACTGGAGATAATTTAAAGCAGAAGGACACTGTAGGAAACTATTATAGAGAACAAACTTGAAAAATCCTCAAAAATATCCGTGGAAGAAAAAAAGCAATGAAAGAAAATTTTTGAAAGATACAAGTACTAAAGCAGTAATCAGTAATCACAAAACAAATTATCAGATAGATATAAGACCAAACACACTTGTTGTGACAATAACTACAAATGGGTTAAATTTCCCTGCCAAATGGTTAGGAATTTCAAACAAGGCTTTAAAAAATAAAACTTGATTTAGCTTAAACTATACATACCAAAAAGGAAGATAAAAATAATAGAGGGCCCTGGCCAGGTGGCACAGTTGGTTGGAGCATTGTCCCTACACCAAAAGGTTGCCGAATCAGTCCCCGCCAGGACACATACCTAAGTGCAGGTTCAGTTCCTAGACAGGGCATGTATGAAAGGCAACTGATTTATGTTTCTCTCCCACACCTCTCTCTCTCTCTCTTTCTCTCTCCCCCGCCCCAATAAAAACATATCTTCAGGTGAGGATTAAAAAATAAAATAGAATAGAATAAGATAAAATAAAATAAAATAAAATAAAATAAAGTAAAATAAAATAGGAAAATCTATCAGGCAAATGCAACAAAAAAAGAAATAGGTGAGAATTCAGCATCTATGCACATACACGTGGACAGGGTGTGCTGAAGGCATCTTGTACTGGCTCACAGAGCTGATTATAACATCCCTTCCCACCTCTACGTTTGGTAACATCACATTGTTTTTGGAGAGCTGGCTTATCTACACACCACTGTATGTACTTCTTTTTTTCATTCCACTCCTCAACATTTCCCAGTTTTATGAATATAATTTATCCTTTTAGATCCTGGCTATTATCATTAAAGAACTTAATTTATTGTGATGGTTAATTTTGTTTTGCTTTATAAAAGTCTATTAAAATTCAGTTACGTTATCTTCTATCTCATGAGCACCCATCCAGCTGCCTTTCAATTGGTCAGTCAGCCACATGACCACCATCATAAATGCCTGAAAGCAAAGATGACATGTTAGCGGTGATTAAAAAAATTTTCCATGATGCTTGTTAGTCAAGTAACATTAGAATCAATAAGGAACGGTTTTATGAGTGATATTCTATTTCATTTGGCAGAATCGGTACATCACTGGTTGTGATGGTTAATTTTATGTGTCAACCTCACTGGACCCTGGGATACCCTGATAATTGGTCGTTATTGTGGAAATCTCTGCAAGGGTGTTTTTATATGAAATTAACATTTTAATCGATGTAGTAGAACAGATTACCCTCTATAATGTTGGTGGGCCTAATCCAATCAACAGAGGGCTTGAATAGAACAAAAAAAAAATGACCTCCTCCCAAGGAAGAGGGAAGTCACCAACAGACTACCTTTGACTCCATCTCCACAATTGGGTCTCCTGGATCCTAGAGACCCACATTGCTGATTTGAACTTGCCAGTCTCCATAATTATGTGAGTTGTCTCATTAAAATAAATCTCTTTCTCTCTATATGCACATCTTATTGGTTCTGCTTTTTCTGGAGAACCTTGATTAATACATTTACACACTGTGTTCTCTCTAAAGATTTTGTGACATTTAAATTGTTTTATAGCTGTATTAGCAATAATTATTTAGATTTAATTTAAGTAGTTATACCATGAATTCCACATTCTTAATTTCTTTCATTTGCCCTGACTGGTATGGCTCAGTGGTCTGAGTGCCGTGAGTTCAGGCTTGCAAACCAAAAGGCTGCCTGTTCAATTTCCCCAGACAGGGCACATGCCTGGGTTGCAGGCCAGGTCCCCAGTTGGGGGTGTATGAGAGGCAACTAATCCCTGTTTCTTTCCCTGTCTTTCTCCCTCCCTTCCCCTCTTTCTAAAAATAAATAAATAAAATCTTTTTAAAATTTTCTTTAATTTACTTCTTATTTGTCTGGAATATGATGGTATTTTTAAGAAGAGTGTATTAAAGGTACACTTTGGTCATGGCTGACATTGTCTTTTTTTTGCATTCTCACCTGAACAGCAGAGGAACCAGGTATCACAATCTAAATTCAATACTTTTCTCTCTCCAAATTCTGTACAAGGTATTTTATCATCTTTGATTATCTGTTTTACAGATAAGAAAATATTAGCCTTCTTTTTTCCTTAATAAGTAGTCCTTCGTTCTGTCTGAACGCTCATTATCTCCTTTTTCTTCTCCTTAAAAATTTCATTTCATCAGGAAGTAGTGTCACCATTCTGCAAACCCCTTTTATTGACACTTCTGAAAAAAATCAAGCATAAAACCTACTTAGCCTGGGTGCTATATGGATTATACTCTGTTTATTGGTTTTCATTAGTTTGTTTTGCCCACAATAAGTAAACCATAAATTCAACACCTAAGTCCTTATGCAGCTAAAAAAGATAACTTCTATTATTCCTTTGAATTATTCCTTCTCTATATGTTGTTTGTTCTTTATGAAAATCTTCTCGTTCTTCTCCCTCAGTTCTACAGTTCTTTTATCTTTTCTTAAGTTGATATTCATTTTTTTATCCTCTTCCTCTTGTTTTTGGGAAAAACATTTTAGCTTATCTCCCACTTCACTGAATCCATTTTCTGCAATAGATGACCTATCAATAGATAGTTGTGTCCACTGCAGATTTTAATTTATTTATTATATATTTTCTCTCCATACAATCTTAACCAATTCTTCCTCTTTCTTCTTTAAGACAATCTGCAAATGTAGTGTTTACAAATGTAATGTTCCAACAAATTGTGTTTAAAAATAATTTAGAAAATATTCTACACCGTAAGTATTTTCCCATTTCTTGAAGCACCTCTAGTTCACAAGGCAACTTTTGTTCTGATTACTGAGTTTGATGCCACTCTTTTGAAATCTGATGCTCTTTCCTGTGTCAGTTGGTCTTTCTTACATGCTTGTACCTCTGTGGCAATGGGCAGCAACGTGAAAGCCATTGTGTGTGGAGCTAGTGATGTGTCTGTTAGAGTTTGAGTTAAAACATAATTCACCCCCTCCTCATTCAACTTTAGGTAGCCTCTCCCCGTTTCTTTCCTTCTCCTAACCCTGTAAGGGAAACATCTCCCAGAGAATTAAACTGTTTATTCTTGCTCTATTAGAGAGGAAACCAGTTCATTCACTAGCCCTCTCTGCTCTGTCTCTAACATCTATCCCTCTCTCTTCTGATACCAAGTGTTTTCCCTTCTCACTGCCAACAAGCCACTTCCCTTGAGTCCAATCAACATATGTGACCTTGAGTCATGTATTTCTTTTTCAAGAATTTGCTACATAAATACACCGGTATTCCCTAGATCGTATCAGTCATTATTCCTACAGAGATGACGTATACCCCAGGGGGACATTTTGTTTTTCCTAAAAATGATGGGGAATAATTAAGATGCTATTCATTAGCCTTGAATCATTTTGGAGTCTTTTAAATTCTTTATGTGATGAGATTAGGGACCCAAACTAATATTGTGGGAAGGTAAATTATTTCCCTCACCAAAATAAACAAGCAATTGCTCACATCCCAAAAAGAATGGATAACACTATATTTGTGGAGTTATATTTGGGAATAGGTCATGAAAAGATGAGATAGACTGCATGGTTTATTGCTGATTCCATCAAGATGGAAATCTGTATTTATGCAAGTCAATTAGAACAAAAATAATCAAGCATCCTAATTATTATGTTTACAGAAATCAAGGTTAAGTTTTTGCAGCTGTATTCACACATACTCTATATGCTATATATTGGCAAAGCACAAAATCATTGATCTTGTTATATAAAGATCAATACTACAATATATGAGTATGTGTGTGTTTGTGAATTTGTACATATATATGTATATATACATATATTCCAAAAATGCATCTATATTTAAGCCAAATTCAAATTGAATCTTCGCATCTATCTTCAGTTCCTTCCCTTGGATGTATTGCTTATTCAAAATAAATTCATCCGCAAAGTTGATATTCAGTTTCCATTTATTTAATTGCAATATTCTTTCTTTGGAATCATAGTAATTTTGCTGGGAAAGAAATTGAGGAAAAGTTTCATCTTAATATATTTTCTTTACCTAATTTTAATAAAATATTTTAACATGCAACTGGCATTAGGAAAAAATTGTGTGGTGAATAAAAAGCTTGGAGAAGAAATGTGTGTTTTTTCAGAGTACTGACAATTTGATATGAAATACAGTTCATTGAAGCTGCATCTCACAGTAACAAAATTACCTATCTACTGTCACATGACATCTATGGTTACCAAATTGTTCTACGCTTACAAGAATCTTCATTCAAAAACATCCTTCTCCTAATATTTACTGATCTCTGACTATGCATCAGATTAATTCAGTGAATCTGCAAACATTCTCATGAGTAATGTTTCATTTCTGTCTACCCATTTTATACATGAAAAAATCTGAGGCTCAAGAAACTTGCCCGCAGCCACATAGTTGGTAAGATGCAGAAGCAGGGTGCAAAGACATGGCTCTCTGGTTCCAAAGCCTATGATTTTTGCCACTGCATTGAGCTGAAACTCCTTGAAATGGGGCTTCCTTTGGCTACCACGAGTGCACCCCATAGATACACTACTACAGACTTCAAAAAGGTGCCACATCTGGCACAGCAGCTATGTTCCAGTTATCTATCACTGTATAACAAACCATAACAGAGCCTTAAAACAATAACACATTTATCTTGCTCCAATTCTGGGGGCCAGCTGGGCTCAGCTAAGCAATTCTCATTCAGCATCTCTCACGTGGTTACAGGTAGTTGGTGACTGGGGCTGGGGTCATCGCAAAGGCTTTTTGTCTCACACATCTGTGCCCTGGACTGGCAACCGAAGGTTCCCAGAATGAGCGTACCAAGGGACATCAACAGGGCTTTTACTAAACTAACCTTGGCAGTCACAAAGCATTGTCACTTCTGCCACACTTCATTAATCGAGGCAGTTACAAAATCCCATTCAGATTCAAGGACAGGAGATCTGGACAACACCTGTTCATGGAAGACTGTCAAAGAGTTTGCAGGGAGGTTTCAAAAGCGCCACAAACTACAATCAGGGCTACTGCTCTGTCGATTTTGCAGTATTCACTCTCACCCACCATGGTGCATCTCATTTTGTAGGAGACAAACCAGTGAATTAAATGAGATATAACGAGTATGGTTACCCCTGCAATATTGGGTTTTTTTACTACATCCTGGAGTGAAGGAAGGGGAGGGCACTTTTTGCTGTTCGCCTGCTCCCACGATGAGTGTGTACTCCTCAGGCCAAGGAACGAAAGTGGGGTTCTGCCAACCACCAAATGTCCGTGCCACCTACACATGGCTAGGCCCAGTAGAGAGAAGCGACCTTGGTCAAGGCAGCCCTCATCAGCTGAGAGCAAGTTTTAGAGAGACACTCAGATGAGAATTATTGGCCTCTAGCATTTCCAGCAGACAGGGAAATCAATGCACTGGTTTTGAATAGAAAGTGAGGAGGAGGGACCTGGGTAGCACAGCACAGCCCCCACTACACCGACTGACCTTCATACTCTTGATAAAATTCATGGTTGGAAAGGCAAGGATTTATATAGAAGTGGCATAGGAGATAAAAGGAGAAAGAATACCATTTACTTTCTTTTTCTCTAGACTAGGTAAAGAACTAACCTTTTGATTCATTTATCATAGTCATTCGCATGAGTGAGCCATTTCACAACCTCAATTCTCCCAAAGAAACAGTACAGAAACAATCATACTATTTCCTCCTTTCTGTCATTCCAAGAAGTTGCCTTGACTTCTAAACAAAATTCCTGCTCTCCATGATGACAGCTGTGGCGGGGGGAAGTTAGAGGGTGGAAGGATGGAGCAAAAAGGAAAAAGGACTCATGGACATGGACAACAGTGTGGTGATTGCCAGGGAAGAGGAGAAAAGGGGATTCAATGGTAGAGGAAAAAAATACAATAAAATTTAAACATACTTCCTACTCTCAATGTTATATATCATATCTCCCTGTGAAGGCAAAACTGGGCAATGATTACCTCGGTGTTAAATAATTATCAATTCCAGCTTTGAAATGAGCCAACTTTGAATTTTCTAAACCTATTTTTTATGGAGAAAGCATTCACCCCAAGGCATTTCTTAGAAAAATATAAGTAGCAAACTCCAAC